CGAATCCATGTTTACTCAAAATTTTCACATCTTCAAGTCTTGAACTCTCAATATTTTTCTTGATGAAGTGGCTGCCAACACTTGATATTGGTGCAGTACTTGAATAATCATAACCATATTCACTTTTCAATGGTCGGGTTGAAATAGAACCTGTGCTCGAGAGATGAGTGTTTGTATACTGATAAGGGACACGAGGAGAATCTTCATCTACAACCTCACTAACGGGGCAAAATCTAACAGACCTTTTCGATTTATTTCCTCTTGGTGTTTGCCTTAAGCAAGATCTTGAAGCCAATGAACATGTTGTTGTGTCTTTCATTGATCTAGACTTCCTTGCTGAACTCCGTTCCTCCATAACCTGACTTTTCTTCAACTTTCTTGGGCTGAAAATGGAATTTAAAAAGTTGGTAATTTTACAGCCTGGTGAAATCGGCTCTTTTACCTTCTTCAAATCTCGATAAATCTTCAATGCACTTAATTTTGTTTTAGTGAATCTACCTTGGCGATTCGATTTTTTCTCAGGCTGTAAAATCTTTCCAGGTTTCTCTATGACAGGTATTTGATCTTGCTGCTGTTTCTGTTTCTGATCAAAGTAAACAGCTGATAATTTTGGTGTGGATTTGGAAGATGAAAACATGCTTGAATCTGTTGATGAGCTTGAATTGGATGTGAAATACCTCGGAGTTGGAACCCTGCTGCTGCTTCTGTAATTTTCCATCCATTTTTCAATCATGATTGCTCGTCGAAAACTTCGGATTTCATTTTCAACTCGTACAGCACTGTTTTTTCTGTGAAGATCAAAATGATCCATTTCTTGCTCGTCGAAGGACTGATAAATGGAGTCGAGAAGAGAGGAAGAGAATGAAGGCTGGCGAGGCTGCCTCTCCCTGGTAGCCATCTAGTTGTATTGCTTGATGTTAGAAAGAGAGGAGAAATTTCCTTGACATGGAGTTAAAGGAACAGTGTACTTACCAGTTAGTATATCAGAATAGAACCATGCTACATTGCTAGAATTTCTTGCCATCTTCCTTGACGAAATGACATTTAGTATTCTATCATTAGACTGTTTAAAAAACAGTCTGTTTTTTCATCAAATCAACTGCTGTCACCATTCCATCATAATAAAGTGGTTGATAACAAGTGAAAAGTCAAATGCCACTGCTTGGATCTTGGCTTGGCTTGGGGTTAAAAATGATGGGATAATGTTGGTGTGATTAGATAACTTGCTATTACTAGATATCAATTGACAATTGGGTAACAAAATTCACGAAACAGGGAATTAATGACGAGTGGATTGATGGTGGTTGAATCTCACTGTACGGACCATTAAGGGTCTCGACAACTTTTATTATTGTACAGTACAAGTATGCATAGTTCCAACTAATTTACGTGCATTCTTACATGACATCATATGCTTGTTCAAGATAGGAAAAACTCAAATTGGAGTTTAGCATTTAAAATGAAATGTGAAATAAAATATATGATCACATATACACTTGTCATCATAATATTTCTAACATTCAATATCAGTTCACAAAATAAAATAAATAACCTACAATAATTATCTTTAAATTGTGGGGAAACGATAGAATTTGTTTTATTTACTATAACAAATAGAAATATAAATGTACAACAAACTGAAAAGACAATAAAATCAAACTCAAACTATTTAGAATCCTGTTTGATTAAGACAAAACTATGAGTACTCTTTGTCCAGAATTTTTCGAACTGCTAAATCATTTTTCAATAAAAATAGGATTAAATGGACACAAACTGTGAACTGAAGACTAATATACACTTGAAAGAATGTGGACTCAGATGTCAAGAAATAAAGATTAAAGATATTACCTCTAAATGTTATGAAAAAATAAATACCACAATGGAGAAAAAATAAAGGAGAAGAAAATGATGAACATAAATCCGGTAAAGGCTTAAACACGAAGATAATATTGTCGTCCTCAAACGATATTTGCCTCATCTATAATGTTTTTAAGGATTTAATGGCAAATAATTGTAGGATTAAACAATACTTATGAAGATCACGAGAAGTAAAGTGAATTTTCAAATGAACAAGTGAAAAAAAATGATTATGTAATGGACAAAATTTTCTCTCAAAAAATTGGATGAATAATCAATATATATTTTTATGTACACAACATATATTTATAGGTTTCAATCATCCCCCACAAAGTGGTTCCAAGCTCAAATCAAGAGGTGCAATGCTTCATTAATCAACCACCAAAAAATTCGAAAAAGCCCAGCCAACGATCACATTTTATAACTATGCGATCGCATAGGCTGCCGCATAGTTATAGCCTTGGTTGTCTCTGAATTTTCTAGTTGCGCCTATGCGACCATATGCATAAAAGGCTTATGCGGTCACAGAGGCCATTTTCATGGCGTCGTATTCCTTTTTTTTTTTTTTTCCATTCATCCACGATTCATCCATCTTGAACAACAAGATTACAACAATCCTCCACTAGTTCGAAATCAATGTTAATCACATAATCAAATATCAACACTCATTCATAAGAATTAGATATATTTCGATTTGAATCTAACCATAAGTAATTCAAACAAAGTAATGTCGGAATCAAAGGTAGCATGAAGCTTTGAACCAGTTA